CCACCCCCCCCACGAATGGGAGGAGGAGGAGGAGGAGGAGGAGGAAGGGCCGTGTTTGTGCCCTCATTGTCCTTTGCTCCTCACGTGGCCCTGTTTGTCTCATGGGTGCTGTTGGCACAGGCTGTGCTTTCCTCCCAGCCACGCTCTGCTCCGGGATGACGTGAGCTTGTGAGCTGTGGGGTGTAACCTGGGGAGTTGTGGGGTGTACCATGATGAGCTGCGGGTTGTACCCTGGTTGGTTGTAAGGCTGTACCCCAATCAGTTGCGGGTTGTACCCCAGTTAGCTCCAAGTTGTACAACAGGGAACGGTAAGGTGTACCCCAAGGAGCTGCAGGTTGTACCGTGGTTGGTTGTAAGGGTGTACCCCAATCAGCTGCGGGTTGTACTCCAAGGAGCTATGGGGTGTACCCTGGTTGGTTGTAAGGGTGTACCCCAATCAGCTGCGGGTTGTACCTTGGTTAGTTGTGGGGTGTACCCCAATGAGCTGCTGGTTGTACCTTGGTTGGTTGTAAGGGTGTACCCCAATGAGCTGTAGGGTTGTACTCCAAGGAGCTATGGGGTGTACCCTGGTTAGTTGTAGGGTGTACCCCAAGGAGCTGCGGGTTGTACCTTGGTTAGCTGTAGGGTGTAGCTCTATTAACTGTGGGGCTGTACCCCAGTTTGCTGTAGGGTGTAGCACAATGAGCTGTGGGTTGTACCCTGGTTGGTTGTAAGGGTGTACCCCAATCAGCTGTGGGTTGTACTGCAAGGAGCTATGGGGTGTACCCTGGTTAGTTGTAGGGTGTACCCCAAGGAGCTGCGGGTTGTACCCCAGTTAGCTGCAGGGTGTAGCTCTATTAACTGTGGGGTGTACCCCAGTTTGCTGTAGGGTGTACCGCAGTTAGCTGCTATTTATACCCTGGTTGTTTGTCAGGGTGTACCCCTGTTAGCTGCGGGTTGTACCCAGTTAGCTCCAAGTTGTACCCCAAGGAACTGCAGGTTGTACCCCAGGGAGCTGTGGGGTGTACCCTGGTTACCTGCAGGGTGTACCTCAGCTGTGAGCTGTGCCCCAACAAGGTGCAGACTGTACCCTGGTTAACCCCTGGGTGTTCCCTGGTTACCTGTGGGGTGTACCCTATTGAGCTGTACCCCGGTTGGCAGTGAGATGTACCCCAATTAGACACAGGCTGTACCTTAATTAGCTGCAGGTTGTACCCCCATGAGGTGTAGGAGGGTTCCCTGGTTGTCTGTAGGGTGTAACCCCAATGAGCTGCGGGTTGTTCGTCGTTGAGCCGGCAGGAGCGCCCCGGTTAGCTGTGAGGTGCACCCTAATTAGCTGTAGGGCTGTATTACCCCAATTAGCTGTGGGGTGTACCTTGTGTAGGTTGTGACGGGTGGTCTTGGAAGTCTTTTCCAACCTTGGTGATTCTCGGATTCTAGGATTAGCTGCGAGGTGTTAATGAGCTGCGGGGTGTCCCCCTGTTAATGAGCCGCGGGGTGACCCCCCGTTAATGAGCTGCGGGGTGACCCCCCGTTAATGAGCTGCGGGCTGTACCCCATTGAGCTGCGGGTGTTCCCGACCCCCGCTGCGATTCCCGCACCCCTCGGGGTCCCGCACCGCCTTCATTGCGCGGCTCTGCCGTTGCGTTGCGCGTTGGGACGCGCGATCCCGAAACCGCGCAGCTCCGCTCCCCCCGCACCGCCGCGTTCCGCACCCGCATTCCGCCGATGTCAGAGGGCCGCTGAAGGGCCGAGCGCTGCTCCTTCCTGATCCCGGCCTTTCCACCCCCCCTCCCCCGCTCTCCTCCTCCGCCCATCGCCCTTTGCTCCCCTGCCCTCCATCCGCTGCGCTCCGCGATGGATGCGCGGTTCCCACGCCGGCAGCGCTGCGGCTGAAGCGGAGGGGGGGCGGAGGAGGGGTAAAAGGGGGGGGGTTAGAAGTTGGAAACACTTCGGGACCGCGGCTTCCCAACAGCGCAGCTCCGTCCCTGCGCATCTCAGCTCCGTCCCAGCGCATCTCCCTCCCCGCGCATCTCATCTCCCCCCAGCGCATCTCCCTTCAGCGCATCTCAGCTCGGTCCCA